CTGGTTTGAAACCCCCTTCCTCCACCTGTTGCGGTGTAGTGGAAAGTGCTGCAGTCCCGTCCGCACGGTATCGCACTTTCTGTGTTTTGGGGGTTTTATGGTTAATGTTGCTTAGTGAAGCTTAAAGCTGTGGATCTCTCTCTCCCAAGTCTTCCAAGAAAAGTGGTGTCACGTGACAACTTAATTACTACAACATGACTTTAATGCTTTCTCTGTCCCAATGACCTGTCAACCCTTAGGCTATTGGTGGTCCAAGGGGCTCCTAAAGGCTCTCAAAAGGTAATTAACCAAAGCAGGCTTCATTCAGTAAGCTTCAGTTTCGCATGGCATCCAGCCCTGATGGTAGAAACTTTGAAAATCCCTGTGACTTTCCCAGCTCCTAATCTGTTTTCCCAGCTCCTAATCTGTTTTCCTGTAATCATTGATTCTGGTGTCCACACTCAGTCAGTCCCCTTAGTGTTTTGGCATTGAATAAAGGTATCTGTTTCTTCTTGGTGTTTCTAGTAACACTCATCTCAACAGGACTGTAATTCAGTAAGGGCAGATGGTTCATCAAGTGCCCAGCTTTGGAGGGATGATCCTTTCAAATGATCCTTTCAATTTAGCGCTGGACAGAGACTTGAGAAGTTTACTTCCAGTTCTTGCCCTTCGCATTTTCTTGTAGAATGATTTGAGGTGTATGGTACAGGTGAGAAAACACACAATAAACTCTTCTTTCTGTAAACTTAGCCTAAGGATTACAAACAGGGCTAATTTACGATAATGACCATATAGATCAACATTGCTTGACACTACATAGCCTTTTTACCTCGGTTGAATTTCTTGGTGCTTCCAAGACCCCTTTTTCTTGAATCTTTTCCATGGGATAATACCAGGTCCCTATCTGATTTGGTGATATTGGGGCGGGGGGGAGCAAAAAATTTTAATTTTTCCGTGATACCAGTTTTCCTCTTCAATTTGTTTTTAGGGCTCTTAGAGGGAATAGTGTGGAGGTGTGGCTTGTAGTGTCCTCAGCAAGCAGGTTGTATCTAGCCACCTATTTCTCATCTGGTCTGAGCTTGGTAGGTATGCCTAAGTAATTACTTGTTTGTTCCCAATAGGCTATACTGTCTAAAACATTAAAATAAATAAAAAATAAAATAGTAAAATAAAGTATTTTTTCTGAGATCAGGTAACCTCTGAGAATACGATGCTAGAGAGGAAGAGGAATCAGATTTTTGGATTCTGAGATTTTTCAGAATTGCCAGACCTGTATTTCTTGGTGTAATACATTTCTTGAAGGTAGATAGCCTCAGGTTTTTTCACAGGTCTGCTCTCTCTTCTTTTTGAATATCAGCCTTTTGAGGACAATCTCACCATTAGTGGTGCAGAGGACTTCTTTGAATCTCCTGACAGTCTGTGACAGCCTCTTCATACCTTGATTCTCTGTTTCCAAGCTGTCATGGTTTAGCCCCAGTCTGCAACCAAGCCCCACACAGCCATTCACTCATCCTCCCCCTCGGTGGGGTGGGAGAGAGAATATGAAGAGCAAAAGTAAGAAAACTTGTGGGTTGAGGTAATAATTGAAATATAATACCACTAATAATAATGAAGAAAAGGAAAACAATGAGAGAGAGAAAAACAAAACCCATGAAAAACAAGCGATGCAACCACTCACCGCCCGCCGACTGATGCCCAGCCTGTCCCCAAGCAGTCATCACTGCTCCCCAGCTAACTCTCCCCAGCTTTTATACCGAGCATGACGTCATGTGGCATGGAATACCCCTTGGGGCAGTTGGGGTCAGCTGTGCTGGTTGTGCCCCCTCCCAGCTTCTTGTGCCCCTGGCAGAGCATGGGAAGCTGAAAAGTCCTTGACTCTGTGTAGGCACTGCTTAGCAGCAGCTAAAACATCAGTGTGTTATCAACATTCTCATCCTAAACCCAAAACACCGCTATGCCAGCTACTAGGAAGAAAATTAACTCTATCCCAGCCAAAACCAGGACACAAGCTTTAACAGAAAAACAATGTTGTTCTTCCTTCCACATAAAGCTAAGAATCTTGGTTTTCTGCTGTGTTTAATGTAGGACTAAACTGTTAAATACAATTTGTATAAGTGATGCTGTGTAAATTGATAGTATAATTATGGTTGTTTTGTCAGCACTGCAATGAAAGTGCAGTTCTTACAGTGTAATTGCATTGTGTAGGTGTGTATTTGGCTTTGTTTTCAAACCCCTGCTTTGATATTGCTACAGTGAGACATGACCTGGGGTGTATACTACTGCAGGTATTGCACAGATCTTAGTGAAAGCGAATAGAGAAATCCAACGCTAAAAATGAACTGTTGGGTTCAGAACTATTTTTATGGGTTTATATTTTTTGAGGTATTTCATATTTGCCATTTTGTTGTTACATAGCTAAAGATATCCATGGCTGGTTCGGTTGCATAATTATTGCAGAGGACATTTCCGAGATTTGAAATGACTTTTATGATACTGCAGTACTCTGCTTGGGTGCCGGCTGTGCAGTGAACAGGGTGTACCTGCACAGAACACTCAGCAAATGAGCATATGCTGGAGCAAACGGTGAATGTGACATTGCTAAACACATTGAAGTGGAACTCGGAGCCACAGTTTAGTGCTGTTCTTTCTCCGTTAGTTTCAACATTTTATCACCATGTTTATCATCTCTTCATGCAAAACAGACACCCCTTTGATGTACAATATAATAAAAGAATAAAAAAATACTTTAAACACACTGTACTGTTTCTCTTCTGAAAAGAGTGATTCTCCTATTTCTTCCTTGTATTTTCCTCCTGCAGCAGATTTTTTCAGAAAATAATACTGAACATATGCTTCAAGGATGTCTCTCTCTCTCATAATAAAATGGGGTGGACAGGAATATACGATAACCTCGCTATCAGAAGAAGACACAGTGTTGGATCTGAAGCAGTCTCTGAAAGGCCTTACTGGAGTGTTACCGGAACGTCAAAAACTACTTGGACTTAAAATGAAGGGTAACTATTCATATTTCTTATTGTGGATGTGCTGGAGATGTTTATAGATGAACATTCTCTAAACCTAGCCAGGATGTGTATACTAACAGGGCACCTGCTTCCCAGATCTAGCTTTTGATTGAACATGGGAATTTAATAGATCACTGGATATTGTTTGTTATTGATACATCTGCCTGGTCATTTTTTAATGGCTGACATGGAAGTGTGGCAAACATATTTTAAAAAAGGTTAAATTGCTGCTAGCCAAGCAAGCAATGTTTCTGTGTATGGAGGAGGATGATAACACAGCTTAGGGTATTCTGGTGTTTGATGGGTAGCTTATTTCAATTAAGCATGAAATGTATCAACAGTTTTCTAAAATCTCTCTACCCAATTAAAAAAAATTAATCTGCTTACATTATAGGCAAACCTGCAGATGACGATGTTAAGCTTGGAGCTCTCAAGTTGAAACCAAATACCAAAATTATGATGATGGGCACTCGTGAAGAGAGTTTGGTAAATGTTTTATTTGTTTATTAGCTTAAACAGGAAAAGATGCTTATATATACGTCTCCTCATTACGATTTAAAAGTTTGAATAGTCCGGTAATCATTTGAAAAATAGTAGTACACTAGATTTCTGTTGGTGTTTATTTTTCTATGTAAGCTTTTCTGCAGAACTCTGATAGCTGTATATTCATTAAACTCCCGTGTTGTTCTGGACTTAAAGATCAAAACTGTTATTATGATATTCACTGACTTCTCAAATCTGAACAATCATCAGACTTCAGTAATTCTTTCTACTAGTAAAGTGAAACAATTTTGGTTAAATATTGTGGGGGTTTTTCCTGTGCTGTGCAGGAACAGAAACTTTATATCCATTGTTATTGTCCTTCAGTGATCCTAGTTATCTTTTATTATTATTCCTCTAGGAAGATGTCCTTGGGCCACCTCCTGATAATGATGATGTTGTCAATGACTTTGATATTGAAGAGGAAGTTGTGGAAGTAGAAAATAGGTTAGGAGTTTTAGCTCTTAAAAAAGTCCTGGTATAGAATGTACAGTGTGCATTTTAATTAACTGTAACTTTTTGCACTGTTCTATTAGGGAAGAAAATCTACTAAAAATTTCCCGCAGAGTTAAAGAATACAAAGTGGAAATTCTGAATCCTCCTAGAGAAGGCAAAAAGCTGCTGGTGCTAGATGTTGATTATACACTATTTGGTGAGATTTTATGCAACTTGTGGGTTTTGTTTGTTTTAAGAGGTCTGTTTATTTGCCAGTTCCCGTTTCTTGATTTTTGCTTTACAAGTATTCTGCAGTAACTTTGGAATGTCTTGTACAATATAACTCCTGCTTTGTAATATTGTGGGGACTTCTGCTCATATTTTAAAAAGCATTGGGTTTTCTAAGAGTTGCATAGTGTTGATTTTAGTGCAGCAGCTGTTTACTTTCTGTAAGAAGACATAAAAAAGTAGCAATTTAGTATTTTATCCAAATAATCTTTCTCTCGACCAACTTTTATCTTGGACATCATGGTGGCAGGGCAAGATATTGCAAAATAACGATCTCGGTCTGTACGTGATTGACTCCACTTTTGGGGGGGCGTGGGAAAACAGCTTCAAGTTTTATTTCCAGATCGTTACTAAACATGCACAAAACCATGTTTTACTTGAAAATTCTGTCAGACTGGGTTTTTTGGAAGCTAGCATTTTCCTTCTGACTTAATTTTCTGGGATGTAGGTGTGTCATGGCAGCTTGACTATAAGCAGTAAATAATAGCTCACTTTATTCCTTTTCCTTAGCTTTCCTTTTTGATGGGATTTGTTTGCAATCTTATATCAAAATAACCTATTACTGAGTCTAAAATTTTTGTTTAGAGGTCTTCTGCTAGCAGAATTTGACAGCAGTTTTCTAATTGGAACAGGCAACATTTGCGTGTCTCAAACTTGATATATGTTCACAAAATTAACTGGACTAGGTTTGAAGGAATCTGTTTCATGTCTGGGCTGTTACAAATTTACTAAACTGCACAGATGAACTCTTTGGCCTGACTCTTCAAAGATATTGAGACCCACAGATCTCTGATTTAATTATTAGCTAAGCCCTCAAATACCTGTAAGGATCCCCTGATAAGTATCCCCTCTGCTTCTTCTCTTCACCTTTAAAATGGGAATGGTAGTTTGCTATGAATTCATTCATGATTTTAAAGTGCCCCAGTGCTTCCCTCATGAAATTTCTTAGGTCTCTGGATAGATAGAAAAGTCAGACTGAACTTTAATAACTTCACTTAAACTTTAATGATGAATTGCTAATCTCTTACATATGTTTTAGACCACAGATCATGTGCTGAAACTGGGGTAGAACTGATGAGGCCATACCTTCATGAATTCCTGACATCTGCATATGAGGACTATGATATTGTAATTTGGTGTAAGTTTTATACTCAATACCCAAGACTTTATTGTAAATTGTCATTCAGAGCAGAGGCTCCAGGTGGGAGGTTTTTAGATGGCTTTTTAGTGTGAATCACATTTATATATATAATAATTCTTATGTGAAAAAACACCACATATTGCTCACACAAATGGATCTAATCACAGTATAAAGCTCAACATCACTTTACTGAGTGTTACCTTGTAGAAACAAACAAGCGCTTGAAGTAACAGAATTGTATAATCAGCATTCAAGCACTGTTTGATAGCTATCTTTACAAATAATCTCAATCGAGGCAGTAAGTAGTGAACTGCCAAATGCACTGAACTCTCCTGTCTTCAGGGATAGTTGATCATTTGCTTTTCCATGCTGTTTCACTTCCTGTCCAACAGCTGGAGAACAGACTTTTGCCAATGCAGAGTTTAAACCATATTAAAATTGTATTACAAAATTTAGTTTTCATAGTCTGGAACAATGTTTCCACATATTCTTAGGTCAGTGGGCAATATCAACACTTTGTCCTTTTCAGGCCTTATGTATTCTTATCACTGCTTCCAGGAGAAAATCCTGCACAGGCAGTATGGTTCCTCAGACCAGGCGTAGCCCACTTCTTATGGTCCTGCAGACTGTAGTTCAGTAACAGATGATCTAGAGAACGGTTTAAATGCATGCAGTGCTTCATCTAGTTGTTAATTTGAAAAGTAAGCTTTTCCAAATAAGAATAAACCTCCATGAAGGAAGACTGTCTTTGAGGCAGTGAACCCTAAAAGCTGTAACAAGAATGGATTTTTCTGAAATTGAATTTTGTGTGAAAATTTGATATGTTAAGTGAACAGTTTCTTGGCTTGTTTCTTTTTTGCCTGTCAATGACTTATTTTGATAAAGTATTCTGTTTTCTCCTTTGTGTTTCAGCTGCTACTAATATGAAGTGGATTGAAGCTAAAATGAAAGTAAGTTGTTCTGAAAATGTGTAATATGTTCCTAGTTTGGCTAGCTGTTCATAAAGCTGGACTCATGCTCAGCACTGTAGAGCAGGTCTGCAACTGGGGAGGTTGTACGAATCAAAACCTGACTTTTCTAAGTCTTCATAGTTACTTTAAATTATCTTTGTCACAAAACTAGATTAGATCTAATTTTAGAATTCCACACAAACTATCAGCAGTAGGTGCTAAATTTAGCAGAACTAAACACAAGTCAGTACTTGCTGAAACTTAGATTAGTCACGCAGCCTTCATAGTTGCTTTCATCTTACCTCTAATTATAGAGCTCTAGTCTTTAAGTGTAAATTTTTTTTAAAGGAGCAGGCAGATGTGGTGTGCTGGAGTAGGTTATCAAGAGGAAACTCTTTTCATATTTATCTTGTACCTCTTGCAGCTGTGTGGTTCTGTTGCTTCCTCTGCCTTATTAAACATCCGTAAGAGCTCTTTTTTCAATACTGGTTTCTTCCGTACCTAAATCAGGCAACTAGCCAGTTTTGCACAGCTGACCTAGTGGTAAACATATTTACAATCAGGCTTAGCTGTAAATCTAATGAGTCTTACTAAGAATTGTTGTATATTTGGTTGGTGGGTTGGGTTTTTTTATGCTTATATATCAAAGCTTGTTTCCATTTCAGGGAAAACTTTTCCAAATTTAAGCTTTTGTATCTCCACTCTTTGTTATAGACTAGCCATTTTTTTTTCAGGTTTTAACAGAGCAAAGCACATATTCCAGTGTTCTCTTCCTCAAAATAATGAATTGCTACAATTTTTCTAAACAAACAAAAAAGCCTCAGAGTGATCTCGGAAACAAGAACCTTTAATCAGAACTATGAAGTAGAGTTAGTGCAAGTAAAATCACTACTGAGCCTTGCAAACACTGGACTTCTTGTGGCAGTGTTACATCTCTGTTCATGTTGTGTCTGTCAGTGTAGTGCTAGGATTCAATCTTGTGGAAAACCATTGTTCAAAACTGGGCTGTTTCCCATGCATTGGTCACCCTTCTGCATTTCTAGGTCACTTTTCCAGCCCTTTCATATGTTACTGAATCGCAACCTTTCTATGCCTACTCCTGGGTAGTTGAGATTCCTACCTCTAGATGCCAACTGCTGTTTCTCCTTAAACTTACAGCACCAGGGGTGCTTACCTCTAAAAGTTCTACTTTTTGTCAGGGAACAACGATCCTAGCAATACTTAGCATAAAGTTTTTGTTTTAAACTACAGAGCAGGAACAGCATTAAAAAGAAGGGAGTATCAGATAACCAAGTTTAATCTCTCATTTGCCACTTATTTACGCCTGGAATTCAGACAGTCTAGAACAGCTGGTTTTTTCAGTGTAACAGGACGCTGACCCAGGTAGATAGTTGTTTTCATTTGCAAGGTTCACTTTTTTATGTAAAAGAAATCAAGTGTGGCTGGACATCTGCAAGAGAGCTTCTGCAAAGTTGCTTTGATTTTATGCTGACATCAGTTAATAAGTTTCTGATAGTAAACACTGCAAAAATAAATTCCTATCAGCTTCTTTTTCCTCTTGGTAAAATGGTATGCTTCTATGACTGTCATTGGATAAAAAAAAATTTACACCCCCCGCCCCAGATAATCTATTTTAGCATGTCTCTGGTAATCTTCAGCAGCTCACCCTTTGACAAACAGCATATTATAATCATGGTTTCAGTTGTACAGCAGTAAAACCATCATAATTAGAAGCTTTAATAATAAATCTTTGTGATGCAGGAGCTTGGAGTGAGTACCAATGCAAACTACAAGATAACTTTCATGTTGGACAGTGCTGCCATGATAACAGTGCACACTCCTCGAAGAGGACTAATAGATGTAAGTACCTATTTTTTCCTGATCTTTTTCTACATTCAACTGACATTGTTTTACCTCTTTGAAATATTCAACAATAAAGTCGTGCTGGAGTTTTCAGGCAAGAAAACTATAAGAATCTTGGAAGCATAGATTTTTTTTTTTCCCTACTGAAATTCTCTGTTAATGTTTTGAGTAGTACATTTGGATGACACTGCTTTCAAATTAAATAATAGAGAAGCATTGCAAGAATATTTAGTACCAACAGAAAGGTTTTCTTTAGTGGGGGGGTTATTTGGTATGTTATACTATTTCACATCTTTTCCCTTATTAAAGCCCAACTACCTGCTAATTTGTCAGCAAAAGAATAAAAGCATCTAATCAATTTTGGACTGAAGTTCCTATAGACTGGTATTTTCATCTCCTGCATATGATCTGATTTAGCTCAGGTACCTTGTATGTGTTATTTTTGCAGGTGAAACCTCTTGGTGTTATCTGGGGAAAATTTTCAGAATATTACAGCAAAAAAAATACTATTATGTTTGATGATATTGGCCGAAACTTCCTAATGAATCCACAGAACGGACTCAAGGTAGTTTTAACTGGAATTTTAATTTATCGCTATTTTTTCCTTATACTTTAAATAGTACTTTCTCATACTTCTTTGCTGTATCACAAAGAAAGGCTATTCTTCACTAGCAAAGATGTGGGGTTTTCTGGTTTTTTTTTAATTTAGATTGCCATTTGTCTGGACTAATATTTCCCTAACAGTAGTATTAAATAAGCTTTGTTTCACTATTAAGTGAGCTTTTTAGAGACTACCAAAATCAATGAAATTAGGATTTCTGCTTAAATTATACCTGCAAGCCATAATCAAGCTGGGCATTGCTGGCAGGCACCATTGAAAAATGTAACGTTCAGTCTCAAGAGTGGTTATATTCAGAAAACAAATCAAATAACAAGTGTCTGTACTTCATGGTAGTATGCCAGTGTAATAGCAAACATTCTGTTCTGGGAAGTAATTAATACCTTGAGCCATTTTGACTGCAGAATGGCAAATATTTCATTTTACAAAATTGTCAACCAGTTCATGCTCCATTATCAGTGCTGGTTCTGAATAAGAAGAATGCAACTTAAATTTCTACCTATATGTGATGGTACAGCAGTATGTACTAAAAGAACCCTCATCAGTTTCTTAGAAAAAAAAAAAGAAAGATGGTTTCAAAAGCAGAAATCCAAGATGATATTTCTTTGACAGTATCCATGGTGTGAAGAGGACAGCAATTGATGAGACCTGGCAAGATGATGTTGATTGGAACTGTGCAGTTTTAGGGGAATCAGGAATGGCAGAGATCTTGCTGGGAGAGGATTATCCAGAGAGCTCCCCCTAGCTCAGATTTGAAAGGTGTTTGTCAAAATGTTGTTAACAGAGCTGCAGCCAGGAACACTGAATCACTAAAACAAGGCACAGGTATAACGTATCCCAAACTTAAAGCAGCTGTCAGACAAAGTTTTATTTCTGACATCTCTTTTCACAGAAGCTATGACTGTAGTCAAATGCTTTTTGCTGAAAAAAAGCATCTGGTTCCAGTGATGCCACACAACTCAAAGCAGAGCTGAAAAACCCTCATCTCCTGCAAAAGTATCTATGAAATCATATTAGAAAATGCGGCAGTCCATTCCAGATCATTTGATCATTCTGTCTGACTGGGAGGGGAAGGCTTGAAGAAGTGCAAGACAAAACAAATTTCTTCCTGGTGGGCATGCAAGGGAAAAACCCTACAGTCCAGTTTGCATGAATAACAAGCCAAATTGTTTGTGGCCACTAATGGAAAAGGTTTTTATTCCTCTCGCTTAAGAGAAGTTATAACTTGACATAGAGCTGAAGATGTATTTTAATTAGGTGGTAAATGATAGAGAATAGGAAGCATTTTTCTTACTTTGAGCAAATGGTTATACCCAGTTTATTTATTTTGTATAGATAAGGCCTTTTATGAAAGCACATTTAAATCGGGATAAAGACAAGGAGCTTCTAAAGCTCACTCAATACCTCAAAGAAATAGCAAAATTAGATGACTTTTTGGAGCTGAATCACAAACATTGGGAAAGGTAAGAACAAAGTCAAAATTCTTTCTTCCTTTTGTCCTTGACCCTGCTGTGTTTTGCTTGAGGTTGCCTGTAGAAAGACTGGAAACAACTGAGCTGATGAACTTCAACATCACTGACAGTTATGAACGTCCTTTAGCTTGAGTAGAGTTTTAATAAGGCTGTAGCATTTGGGCTGCTTCCCTAAAATGATAGGATTTTGACAGAACGGACTTTTTTTTCCTAATATCCAGTATTCAGGACCGCCAGTTGTTTTCAATGAAGCAATTATGCTTCCTAAAGGGAAAATAATTTTTGAAGGAACTTGGTGCCTAGAAATCTCTTTCTACCCCTACGAAGTTAGGCTGTCCGTTCAGATCTCGGGTCCATTGTCATGAGGCAAATTTTCTGGCGTTTACTGCAGGGGTTTGGGGTGTTACAGTCTGGTTCTTGGGCACTATCCAAGTTGTGTGGTATTACAGTATTCATCAGCTCTGAAATGTAAGTTACTGAGCTATGAACAAGAGTTTTCCAAATGCTTAGGGCACCAGTTAGCATCCTAATTATTGCTAGAGAATGATTAGCTGAAGTGCTTGAGCAAATGCTTTTATGCAACAGCCTGAAGTTTCAATACATGTGAAAAAAAGAGTGTGCAATATGCTATTCGAAAAACACTTGTTCGATGCTGAAAAGAACAGCCTTGCAACTAGATACAATTTTCTTTCTTGTTTCTGATTAGAACAAGAAAGTCAAAAATTAAACTTTAAAAGCAGTGAGATTCACTGGATATTTCATACTGTCAGTTAAATCAGTTGGATTTTTTTTTCCTAGAGTAGTTGCAAAGACTTCAGTGTCACCACGTAGCCAGATTGCTCCAGCTGTAGTAGTAAGAGAACTATGAGATTAGAAAACAAGCATTTTAGAGTAACTTGGATTCTCTAAAGAAGCCAGGAGAGGGCTGTTCTTTTCAGGTTATGCTGGATGACTGTTCATTAAAGTCTTGAATTTACCTGAAGGAGTGTATCAAATGGGTCTTTTTATCTTTAAGGACATAATAGATACTTTTCTAACTGATGTAATTTTCAACCTCTTAGAATAAAACATGTTTCCATTTCCTTCCTCCGTTTTATTTTAAAAACCTAATAGAGTAACTAAAAACCTGACTTTGAATTACTGTAAGATAACCTATTATGGAACTGAAAGAATGTTGAAATAAAATAAAATCATAAGTAGTATTGATCACGTTTCTAATTTTTCATTATCAGTAGGGGGTTTGCTACTGAGAAAAGAAAACAGATTCATACTTTGATTTTATGAAAGGTACTAGACATATCTGTGCCTACTTCTTATTTTGTGAAAAACTGTACTTTTGTTTCTTTCAGGTATCTTTCGAAGAAGCAAGGACAATAACACTATGAAAGTTGTGTGGCACTGAATTGAAGGGAACATAACTTTGGATCATTGGACTTTTCCTTGCTTTTATGCTAGAGTATAATAGTGCTGGACACTGGATCCAATGCCAGAATGACTGCTATACTTGGTCTTCCAGGTGGTTGGTTGTGGGGTTTTTTTAAAAGATCACAGCAATAAGCTCAAAGTGGGAGAAACAAGTCAGTTACTTTTTCTTGTGTTCAGTTCTGGTGTTACTACTTAAAATACTTTCCTCTCCTTTGCTGCCGAAGTACAACCATAACCATTAAAGACCAAAACCATTCTGAAACTAGAAAAAAAAAAAAAAACTTAGACCAAAAAAGTTGAGTAAGGAGCCTGCCTTGGCAGTGTATGAATTGTATAAGCCCTCTATTCCCTCCATCTTTAGAAACAGTCTCCCTCTCCCATTCCAGTATTTAAGTCTATAAATTACAAGTTGTCTAAGTTTGGTATGTATTAGTATGTCAGTGTTTCTCTGTGCAAGACAGTAAGATGGGAAAGTACCACCTCTGTGGCCAGTTTACCCCAGTGTGTACTATAAAGCAGTGTTTAATGGAAAACAAAAGATTGAAGTTTGAGGGAGAGAAACCCACTCTTACTTGGTAAGCAAAAAGCAGTCTGCCTGAAAAATTCTTATGTGTCAGATAAAGGGTTTAAACCTCAGATGGGAAAGTCACATTCCTAACAAAGCATGAACAAAACCCTTGTTCTCTTCTAGCTAAATCTTGTCAAAGTGCAAACACTGTGTTTAAATACAATATTCAGCCATACTGTTCTTAAAATATCATTTACTTGCGCTGCTTATGCCTGCACTATAGAAGTGTGATGTGACTGCTGTTTGGCATTACCAACACTTGTGCATTATGCAGTTCATGTATTTGAAAGAATACTGACCCTTTCAAATAAAAATGGTATATATTGTTCTTAAGGAACTATAGCAGTTGTGTAAATAATAAATACCTTTTTCATAATTTGTGTCCTGTGCTGTCTGAAACATCTACTTTGGATGATAGGGAAGCCATTGATAATCTTCATTTTGGTTTTTTGTGGTGTTTCTTTGGATTCCAGAGACACCGTTTTTGCATCAGTAGTTAAGTAAGAGACTGGTATGTGCTGCTGCAGATTAGGGCAGTGGTGCTGAATAGTAAAGCGCCTAGCTGCCCAGGAAAGGAACCTTGACAGCAAATGTCAGAATGTCAGGACAGCAGACACAAATGAGCTGTTAAGATGAGCATGTAAGGCTCCGGCTCAGTGACCTGTCAGAAAATATACAGTTTCTTATCTGCTGCTCTTTGTGGTTTAGTACCAACCCAAGCTGTGTTTCAGACTAGCAAACCAGAAACCTGATGCATAAAAAAATCTTTGTTTTAGGTAAGTATTGAGGGTGAATTTCTGAAGTTTTGTATCCTAGAGCTGATTTCTGAACTAGAAGGCTGACTCACTCCTGTACGTACAGTGCAGATACAGTCCCCAAGGTTAGAACAGTGATCCTTTACCTAGAAAGACTGCAGTAACATAGATACTAGAATATAGGACTGGTAATATGGTGTACTAGAATACCTCTCAATTTAAAGAATTGAAGGAAGTCAAGGCATTGCACTCGCATCGCCTATAGAGGTTGTTATGCCAGCCAGACACAGAGAATGAAACCAAGGGAATGTATTTAAACATGTGCCCGTATCTTTTTGCTCAAAGTTGGTTTAGAAACAGAAGTTTTATGGTGAACAAGCGATACTCTGTTCTTTTGCTTTATACAAGGAACATTTGGAAAAAAAAAAAAATCTTGATTATTTTTTTTTTATTTCAGTGACACTGGGATTTCATCCCAGAATTTCAAAGTATTTGCTGATCTGAAGTAGATGTGCACTCCCCTTTCAAATATTTTGAGCTGCCCTAGAATATGTGAGAGTGTGATCTCAATGTGATGGTAACACACTGCTGTTCCTGACAAGTCATTGTGTCCTTTATGCCTAATGTCATTTCCCTTGTATTTTATGTTTGAAGACTAGGCTTGCAATTTTTATATATATATATATTTTTTTTTTTTAAGAAACCTGTGTATTTTACCAGCTATCGTCTAAAAAGGCTGCAGTGATTTACTTGGCTGAGACATGATTGAGATTCATAAAATTGTGAAGCTGTGGATAAGGCAAGTGGAAAACTGATGTTGATCAAATCCCACAGTAGTAGAATGAGGGGTCACTCACACAAATAGGAGAGTGGCTGAAAATTATTAGGAGCCACCAGTAGCAATCTCCTGGAATTTGCCGCGGAGGCAGCTGGTATTGGCAAGATCAGAAAGGAGTTCCACGACTTTGTGATCAAGTCCATGGTCAGATGCTAAAGGGAACAGGCTAGGAAGGTCTGAGATCCTTAACACGAGAACCGCAAGTGCTCAGGACAGTGAGAGCAGGTCACACAGCAGCCAAGCCTGCGTGCTCCCCTTCAATCCCTGCTGGGTGGAACTTGGCCAAAGCAGCTCAGCTCATGTTTGTACTACAGGACTCTTCTGGGCTATACATACAATAGGATTCTGTGCCAAAGTACCAGAATTTAGTGTAAGTGTAAGGATGAATGGCTACCTTTCTGCTTAGCCCCAAAGTAATGTATTTATTGCTCATCAATTCAGAGGAAAACACTTCTGCTGACTTTTTGTTTCTCCTTTTTAACAAGGAAGGCAGTTCTGACCTATTTGCATTTCGAAAGGGTAGTTGAGCCTTGGGAATAACTATCAAGAGCAAAGTTGAAAGCCTTGTTCCCTGTTAACATTTAGTTTCCTTTTAGATTATATTGAGGACCCTGAGAAGTATTTGATCAATGGTTTTCACAATCTCTGTTAAAAGAAATAGGATTAAAGCATAATCAAAGAGAGGAAGCATGTGGCTTAATTATAGAGCTCGTAATTTACTGTTCTGCAAAACTCTGGAGAAGCATTAAATGGAGTCTGAAATATTCCAAATATTTTCATGTGTCAGACTGTACTGGGCTCTCAGTACATGCCGAGTATTTTGTATGTTGTTCTGTCTGGTTATTCATACCAAAAGAGACAGTTCATTTAAAAATGAAGTTATTTCTGTAAGCTCTGGATATCTGACAACTCTAATGCCTCTCTGTGGCATGAATGCTCATCACTGGAGGTACACGGAGTGACAGCCGAAGCCAAGAACTTGAACTGCAAATTCAGCTCCACAAATCCCGCTGCATGACTGTGAAATCTACAGCTAGTTGCCAATTTTTATTCCCAACTTGACATGTGACTGACAGCAAGTGGATGCCAAAGGGTTTAAGACATTTTTCCACTCTGTCTGTTCAGGATGTATTCAAGACTGATGTGAGAAGTGCTGAATACTTTCTTCCTACCAGTAAGGTGAAGGCTAGGTAAAAATTGTGTTTCACAGGGTAAAATTAAACAGTTCTCCTGATTCATTAAAGCTGTTTAAAACCAGAAACGCTGGATGAAGAGGTGCTAGAGGGCAGAATCCTCCAACATTTCGCTCTTGACACTGCAGCAGTCGTGGCGGGCAGTAGCTGTGGCAGGCGATAGCTGCTGGTAGCGTGGGCGACCACCGCACCCAGTGCAGGGTGGCTAGTGAAGCGCTTTGGCTGGGGGATTGATGGAGAAAGACTTCAGTGAAAAGGAAATGTTGAGGGAGAGAATAAGAGGACCAGAAGAGAAATACACTAATCTGTCCTGGAGAAGACAAGGTACATATTTCAAATGTTACGAGTTTCTTCTGTAAGTAATATTAGCAGTGTCTTGTGACAGCCATACCTTACCAGAGTACTACACTGACACGTTTGCCAGGGCTCTTTGGCTTTGAAAGGGCTCCTCACTAATCAGGGCATGCTTTAGGTATAAGCAACTCAAAAGATTCAGGGTCTGGAAGAACTGCCTCATGGCAAGAGATGAACTATTTGTTTGGTTAAGTTTTCCTAGAGAGTGGTGAAAAATGACCCCAACGCCTTACAGTTTGACTCTGCCGACTCCTGGCTTTATCTGCTGGATGACACTTAGACCTTTATTCCCAGCCCAGCTGTATTAACTACTCCAGATCCCCTACACTGCAATCCCCCATTACCTTTTAGATCCCCAATAACCACACAAGGCCTCAACCTCACCATCCATACATCAGCCTTTTTCTGATGGTGTTTTATAACAGGGCATTTCAAAATGAACTATTTATATACTGATGAGCTTTCTCATACATCCCTGAGCTTCCTTATTTATGCTTATTTATGAAGTTTGCTCATCTCTGGGGATCTCTTGATGCTGCTTTGATACTGCAAGCGCTTGGATGCTCATTTAGTTCTCAGGAGTCTGTGCAGAGCTTCGTGTGTTTCATTGCCACACACAGACACGTACAATGCCACGCCATTAATTTCTACAACTCTCCTAGCAAATAGTTTTCCCACCAATTCATTTTCTTTTAAGAAATAACAGGTACAAGTCAAAGGGAGCTCATTCTCAAACAGCATAATGCTCTTAAGCACTACGGCTGGGGTGGTGGGCACAGCAAAGAGCAGTGCATCATTAACACTTGATTGAAAGTTGGTGGCGTTTTTATTTTTTCAATTGTCTATTTGGAACTGCATACCCACTCTTCTCACACAACACCATTTTTCAAGGTGTTTATATAACAGAAAAGAGCAGGTCTTATCTTTTCACCATGGCAGGGGCCAGGGCTGGCCGCAGCTCCTGTGTGCAAGGGGACTGGGTGATCTGGAGCAGGGCCCGCATGGTCCTTCCCTTGCAACAGCCTGGAAGATTTTGACTCTGGTGTTATGAAACACTGAGGTTATTGCATCAGATTTTTAGTTACTAAATAGCTTCACCTGTGGTGTTAAAGTATTTGCTAATTAACGACAAGAGCCTTGTTCTTCACTATTTATGCTGCTCTTGAGAGGACAGCAAGTCAAACTCTGGATCAGAGCATCAGTCAAAGAAGTCATAGTTCAATATAAATGCTCAAGCCAAACATCTCAACCTTCAGACTTGACTGGACTTTTCATCTCCAGCAGCCTGAGCAAATACTTCATTCAATCTGCTGCAAGATCAGCCCCTGGATTTTGCTTGAGCTGGATCTGCCACGCTTCTTCCTGAACACAGACCAGAGCCAGACAGCGGGGCATGAGCAACTGATCCGCAGGCGGTTCAGAAAAGTTGTTTAAATTGTTTCATATTGGAGGGAAATGTCCACAGATGAATACAAAAATTGAACGAGCTTTGACACCCAAAGTTAGTTTCTGAGCATATTCTCATAGTAACACTGCAGTTAAATAAAACTCCTTTCTGCCTTTGGTTTTTTCCAGTGCTCTAGAATTTTTCCCTCATTTCTAAAAAGCTTCTCGGTGTGGATGTATGTCATGTCTCCCAATTTGTGCTTTATTGGCACAGCGGACTCTAGGCGCTCTGTAGAAGGCAGTGTGCTGTGGTATCATAATGACTGAGTGCTTTGATGAGCTTTGTATGTTAACGATGTGTTACAAGCCAAGAGCTCCGCTGGTAAGCATCAAACTTTCTTCCTCAGGTGTTTTCCCCTAGTTTGGGTCATACTGGAAGAACAAATGGGGGCAGAGGAAGAATAATGTTCATGATTTAACAAATTCTAGTAAAACTTTCTAAGATACCCTGATTCCTAGGGCAAGATGAGATGGATCTAGAACTGAATTTTGCAAGGCTTACTGATCCCTTACCCTGCTTTCTATGTTCAGTTCAGTATTTCTGTATTTTCTGCCACACGTGGGTATGCGACATTTGTGAGTAGTAAAAACTGCACGCAGCCGTTTAAACAGGAGGTGAGCATGAACAGAATTTCAAGTGCATGCTTAAAGTGCAACTGATGCCAGTGTGACTTTTGGGTCCCTCTGCTGTCCTAATGATGGATATTCCTTGAATCAGGACCAAAATGAGCACATTTTTCTGAAAGTTAAG